ATTTTTTTCTGTTATTGCTCAGACTGACTGACGGCACAATATGAAAGCAAAGAGACAATCTACTGCTACTGAACGTATAGGTTTTGTTTGGTTGGGAGCAAGACGCTATCGATTACTAATTATCGATTTATAGGATCTAGTGCTTTTGATATTTTGCGCTTGTATACCAAACTCAACTGGATGCACGAATAACCTAGAAATAATACTCTGTTGGATTAAAGGCTTTGATTTATAACTTTTGTTTTGTAATACAATATAATGCGCTACAGTACTGTATAGTATGATTCCACTTATTACTTTGAGGTTCATAGTCTAGCTTTGGTTCGCTTGAGACTATTTTAGTTTGAAGCACGGAGCCTTTGTATAAATGAACCTTTTCTATGGTCGATTAAATATGAGTGTACTGGAAATGATATTTTTTAAGATTTCTACAAGCATATGCAAATGCACACCAATGGTAATCATAGCTTTTCAATTATAGAAAATTAAAAATCGAATCAAATAAGCAATGTTTTTTTTTTTGGCTTTAAGTAACCTGGTGAGACACATTGTGATCCACCTCTTCGAGGTTTATTATATTACAATTACTCGAATTTTGATCAAAATATCCGATTTTTTCACTCTCAAAAAGCATAGAACCCTGAAATTCGGGAAACTTGCACCACTTCAATAAGCTCTTTAAATGCCCAATAGCAAAAATACGAGTTGTTTCTAAAAGTACAATTTTTTTTTTAGTTGAATACATAAACCAGACACTCCAAAAGGCATCAATTTGGAGTGTTCAAAAGTTAGAGATATTTTTTTTAAAGAAAAGAGAATATTATTTAGCATAAGAGACATTATAGAATAGCTATATATCTATATATGCTCTACATAACAGAATATCAGCTTGTATAAACGTTTATATGAAGAAAGCCGTCCTATATTCTGACATTACAAGCATACGCTGGAAGCAAAGAGTGGAGTACAAATAAAGCCACAATCTTTTTTCCAAAAAAAAAGGCAATGACTTTGGCAGACACTCTTGAAATGGACGGCTGTGTAATATATGTCATGATATTTTATATTGCCCTTTAAGAGAAAAGAAAAATACATAGGATACTTTTTATGTGTTCCATTAAATAGCATACTTGAAGTCTTTGTTTCAGATTTATTAATTAAAATTATGATAGTAAATTGGTGTAAAGAAGTAAAAAAGAAAAAAAAAATGGGAAAATTTAAATTAATAAGGGCATTTTTTCTTTTTTTTTTTTGGGGGTTAAATACCTGTCTCCAAGGTGTATATGTGCAGTGTATACATCCCAGTCTTTCTTCACATATAGACGCACAAACCAGCTTGTCCACCGATATCTTGGCTGTACCATTATAAAATATAGAGTATAAGGTGGTTTGCTTTTTATGTCTTCTTGTAGACTGTGTAGAGGCTCATTGGTAAATTAGAGCCTACGACTTCCTACAAACAAAAGTCTTTTTGTAGACTGACATTATCAATTTGTGGGGCAAACAGCCTATGTGTACCCATAAGAGAAAGAAACATAGCAGGCTAATCCACAGTGACACTACCACCCATACAAAGGTTGAAATACTGTCTAGTGTTCAGTCAATACTGTTTGGAGAGGACTGTCTATCAGAAATAACCTTAACAGAGCCGCAACAGAAACAAAAAAAAATCTTTTTTTTTTTAGCAATGTCTTGAATCTTCTTTTTACATACCTCATTCATTTCGGGAATCCTCAGTCAAATCTCCATGCATACATTGACTTTACAAATCTACTGGAATCGGCACCAACTTCAGAATGCTATCAAAACTAACACCAGTAACCATAACATATCGCTTTTTTTTTGACACTACTAAGATCAACTTCAAAATACTATCAGAATTGACACCAACAACCATAACATATCTTTTTTTTAATTACCACTATAAGATACAGCTCAAAATCATAGCCATATAATAAAACTTCGACACTCCAAAACCGTACATTATATTCCTCTAAGCCCAAGGTCTCATATATCACCATTCTCAAATCTGGCTTTCAACTCTCGCACACACACAAAATTCATATGCTTATACTTCCAACACCTTCTTCGATCCCAATGCCCCCCCATCCCATCAGACATAATTTTCAAAGCTTCCACCTTCTAGTATATCTTTAAATAACCGCTTCTACACCAAACAAACTTCACCCAACACAAATACTCAACCATCAAAGTTTTCTTAATATCTTTAAATATAATCACTCTTACTCTTCTTCTCTCTTTCACTTCAATTGAATCAACTCTCTCCTGTCTCACCGTACTCACATCTCCTATTCATCTTAATGTCTTTTTAATCAATTAAATTATTACATACATATCTAGCTTTTATTAATAGGGAAATGCTTATTACAATCATTGTTAAAATAGAGCTCAATTGGAATGGTTTAAAAAGATTTGGTTTTTATTAATAAAAAAAATTAAAGTCAAGGCTAAAGAATATATTATATTTATTAGCAGAAAAAAAACGAGAAAAAAAAATAATGTCAGATTCTTAGTTCACTACTTATAAAAGTAGATCCATCCTCCCCAGAACGAAGACCTGATCTGACAGCGGGGAGGGAAAATGAACTAATTTACCCTTTGAACAATAACACTTCATAGGAACTTATCTTCCTCCATGCCAAGGGTAGTGTGAAGAGTCTCTACCAGCCATCCTGCAGCGCTGCACGTCAGCATTCACTCTCATAGCTGGCTTCTTCTCTCTTAAGCACTGGCTTGCACCAGCACACACACAAGAACCAAATCCCTAGACTCTCGCGCAATTAATGGTCATACTACTAGAGCACAAAGTGCCATTCGCAATCGCAAGAATCGCCAGTGTTACAGTAACAAAGACTGTAGACACGATATAAAAGAACGTGCGTGCGTACGTCTCCTGTAGATCTAGTATATACGAAGGGGGACAATCTAGGAACGAAACTCCTAGATCATCATAGGACTGGCGGTTTCACCCTATGTAGAACAACACTTCATAGGCAGCTATTTTCCTCCATGTTGAGAGTGGTGCGGAGAGCAAATTCAAGCCAGAAGGCAGCGCTGCGCGTCAGCCTACACCTTCCAGCAAGCTACACTCTCTAGAGTATTGACTAAAGTCGCATCGCGCACACTAAAACCGCCTTGCCAGACACTTGTGCAACTTCGAAAAATTGCTATGTAATCAGCAGGGAACCACTGAAGACACAGTATGAGCGCATTCGCGCAATACCACTTGTAGGTCTGGCTTACTTGGTATACGGCTTGATCGTTGGCTGGCTAACACAATATCTAAATAGATTGTTAGTCAAAGTCTGATATAGTAATAGTATTAATAAGGAACTTACCCAAAGGTTTCCATGCCTGATGCTATAGCTACTTCAAATAGAAATATATACCGGTGCGTATATACTTCCACCTAAAAAAAACATAGTTAGTAAATGTTGAGTAGAGTACAGAATATAATATTGAGCTTACCCAAAGAGCTTCAGTAAAGGGGTTAACTCTTTTTTTACCACAGGAAACGATTGCTCACTCCCCACAGCTCTGCAAACAGACATATACCGGTGTGTATACACCCATCTAAAGAATGAATATTTAGATAAAGCTTAGTAAAAGAAAAAAAAGAGCTTACCAAAAGAGTACGGAGGCACGAAAACCCCATGGACAGAAACATGGACACTCGTCACTGCTAGCAAAGTAGATGGTTAGATATATTCTAGTAGAAAGGCAAAGAAGAAGAAGATACTTATCTTTTGGACCAGGCGGAAAGTGTGAGAAAGAGGTAAAAGAGAGAAAAATTTGCTGCGCACTTTTGCACTATTGATATACTTTTTGATTGAGGGCTGTGGGAAGTGCTGAAGTCATCATGTCAAATATGCATACACTCCTTAAAACATTTTAGCTGAGACAAAATGACTGATTTCCATAAATGTTTATTACATCAATTATATAGACAGATTTAATAAGGACACGATCCTAAAGATTTTATAGCTGTAGAGCTTGTTGTATGAGTATATTGAAAGAATCAATGGTCTTTAATTAAATTTACTCCACGTTAATTTGATATTAGCTTCGGTTTTTGCAACTTTACAGCATTAATATATACCAATTGAAATTTTATTCTTTTAAAGTATTATTCTTTATTAAATATTATATATTAGTAGACATATATTTGAGGCTGCAAGACCTTCTTTGTCATTCAAATCAGATATTAAAGGTGGAGACCATATCTTCAGAATATATATATATATATAACCCATTATTTGGATTAAAAAACTGGGTACACTTATGCAGACAGAAATGTGTATCAATCGGATTGTATATTAGTTTAATGTTCTTAGACAATATATTAGACACTTAATTTTTCTTCTGCTACTTAGTAAAAACTGGATTAACTCACCAGCTGTGCAAAAAGCTACACTTATTAAGTCGAGTTTTGATCCGTTCTTGGACAATTTATTTAATGGTGGCACATATCTAAATCTTATCTAACACTGTGTACCTTGAATTAAAATATACTATTCGATCCGACTTCAAAAAGCTTTCTTTTAGTATTGTGGTGATCCAGACACTCGGATGTTGGATTTATCACATATAAGAACATATTCATATTGAGATAGCGTAGTAGCTATCATCTTGTCAGTATAAAATATATATAAACGATTAAGTAATCAGCCCAATAATTATTACAGTTAGTACTGTAGATAATATCTTAAAGATTGTTAAGATAATTATATCATACTGCCGGGTAAACTGTGTCAGATCGATATGGAGCTAATTTAGTAGGAAGTCCTAAAGCTCTAGTATAAAAGAGAAAAGAATAGCTAAGAGCTAAAGAAGTACGATTTATGACTTGATGTCATAATTGTAACACCGACACTAGTTAAGCAGTAAATACACTCTAATAACCAAATATAGTAAAGGAAGAAAGCCTTAAGAAACTAAGACGTAATGACAAGAGCAGATTGTGTTTTCTTATAAAAAGGGACACTTTTTATTTATGAATAAAGACAACTTATATACAGTCTCAAAGTATTTCTATACGTCTCTATTATCAAATATTTTATTTTTCTATTGTTCCGTACCTGAAATACCACAAGTATATTCAAAACTCAGTAAGATTTTGTCTTGAAACAAATGTATAGTATTTACATACAAAAGAGAACTCTATGATTATGTATAAAAAAAACACTAATTGGAGCATCTGCACAAAACCCAAGACATATACAAAGTAAAAAAAGAAAAAAAAGAAAAAGGATAGTGATATTGACAGACACTCTTAAAATGGATGGCTGTGTAATATATGTTATAATATTCTATATTAGACTTTAGAAAAAAAGAAAAATACATAGGATACTTTTTATGTGTTATATTAAATAACATACTTGAAGTCTTTGTTTCAAATCTATTTATTAAAAGTATGAGAGTAAATTGGTGTAAAGAAGTAAAAAAATGAAAAAATGAAAAAATGGAAAATTGAAAAAAATGAAAAAATGAAAAAATTGAAAAATTTAAAATGCAGTTAAAAGAGGTTTCGATCCCGCAATCTTTGGCTGTGGGTACCAATGCATTTCTCGTCAATATCTTTGCAGGTTCGATACTATATTTGGAAAATTTAAATTCATCAGGGCTTTTTTTTCTTTTTTGGGTTAAATACCTGTCTCCAATATGTATAGGTGTACTGTATAAATCCCAGTCTTTCTTTGTATAAAGACGCACACACCAGCTTGTCTGCCAATACCTTGGCTGTGCCATAATAAAATATAGAGTATAAAGTGGTTTGCTTTTTATGTCTTCTTGTAGACTGTGTAGAGGCTCATTAGTAAATTAGAGCCTACGACTTCCTGCAAACAAAAGTCTTTTTGGTAACTTGTATTACCAATCGGTGGTGCAGACAGCCTTTGTGTACCCGATCGTAAAACAACCATAGCAGAGCCCATTGACAGGGACACTGTTATCCATATGGAGATTGAAATACCATTTAGTATTCACTCAAAACTATTTGGAGAGAAGTGTGTATTAAAATAACCTTTGCTGTACTGCAACCAAAACAAAAAAATATATTTTTTTAACAATGGCTTGAATCTTCTTTTGACATTCCCAACATTCCGCCATCCCAGTTGAGGATCTTCATTCCTGTTGGGGATCGACATTCATATTGTATTGCAACTCAAAGTGGACCAAAAGCGACACAATACAAAAAGAAAGCGCACTCTTTTTAAAAAAAAAACCAAAATATTCTTTATTTTATTTTTTAGACGGCTGTCCATGATATATACAATTCAAGCAAAAAATAAGCCCTCAGTCATACCTTCGTGTCCCTATAAGCTGCTCAACGCTTTAAAAATCGACACCAATAAACGGGGGTACTCAGCCAGATTGATCGATCAAATTTTGAATTCAGAACGCCATATTATTGGACTACAATTGTAATAGCAACGATAAAAATTTTATCGTCTTTTTGAAAGATCAAATTTCGATTAAAATTTGATCGAAAAACGTATGGCTCTCTGATTAACCTAATCCTTACTTTTTATATGCAATACGATACTGTTTTTATCTTTCTCCTTAATAAATCATAGAATTTATTGCCAACAGTTATATAATACTTCTTTCTCTCCATCTTACATGCCAAAATATAGTACAAAGCAACAAGCAATTGATGCCTTGAAGAAATCGCATAAAATCAGGGATTTTATTGTGAAAAAAAAGACTGGTAGAGTCTTTATCAGCAAGTGCAGACGAACTTATTAAAGATATTTTAGAAGTAATCAAAAAAGAAGTTAATATAAAGTTGGAGCAGATGACTGCTGCGAAGGAGCTTAAACAAATACTTAAAGCCAATAAATACATACACAAGGTTGACAATGTATTGCCAGATGTTGAGTAAAGGGAAAGAGCACTTGATTTCTTCGAGAGTCTAGATGCCTACAGGTTCAAAGAAGAAATCAGAATGTGCAAAGATTATTCTATTAATGCTATAAAAATCTATGAATTTTGTATGAATTTTGTACTTTTGTCTTTTGGTGTCCTCAACTACAAATTGATAGCATTGGCTAAAATTCACACAAGAATTTGATCTATCAATCTGGCTGTGTACCCCCACTAATTTTTTTACAGCCGATACCATGTATCAGTATTCTACTCTCTATTGTGGGCCACAGCTATATTTGTCTTTTTTTATTTGTCTTTTTTTACTATTTCGACAGCAAAACCCAACGCTAAAAAAACTCAATCTCTATCAAGGGTTACAGGTATACCAGTTTCTTTGAATATATTACTACAAATTATTTTTGTATATTATTTTAAACAGACAAGCCCAACGATCAAGATTTCAGGCTCGAGTATCATATACCTGCATATGTATTTGTTTCAATAACTACTTTATGCTGTTTCTATAGGACCTTACAGTCATATTTAATGCTAAACATTAAAACTTTAGTTTTAGGTATGGATTCTAGGTATACAACAATTTTTGACCACTCAGTACTGCTTGCTTTATATAAGAAGTATATGTGTAGTTGAAGCCAAATAATTTAAGCTGGGTAAAGATATAAAAAGCTTTTGAGAAATTTACTGACACCTATATCTTTTTTATGTATTTGATATCAAGAATCAAGTAACAAATTTGTGCTCCCCATCATTGTTTAAAGATATACAAGTATTTTTTAAATTATTTCTTTTATTAATGCTTTCATTTCAGTAGTGTATTTCCAATTAATTTAAAGGATCAAGTTTTTGTCTCCATTATAGACTAAACGTATACAGTGCTATTTGAAAATTTAAATAACATAATTTGCTTTCGTCTAGTACTCACAGTCAAGACAAGTATCAGAGCTCCACGTTTCCTCATAGAATAGAAGTGAACAAGACTCTCTGAACATTTAATTACTGCCTCTTTTAACTACAGCTTGGCCTTACCGTACTTACATTTGCTACTTATCCTGTGGCTGCAAGGAATCGAATAACACTAGCATAACATTATTACTGCTCATCATCTATCCCAATTAACAACATTAGCAACTTGGCATACTTTAGCTTATTTGTTAGTTTCGGGTATGTTTAATTCAGCCACTAGATTATCTACTGTATTGTATATCGCAGACCTCTGGATATATCCTCTCAGTATCCTCCTCATGCTAATATGAGCCACGAAACTGACCCTACTCAATCTCTAATATTCAATCATTATAGCTACCACCATCACTTTTGAAGCACTAGTATCTAAATCAATAGCGTATTAACAGTTGAAGGTCAGCTATGCATACGTATATGGCTACTCACGGGGCTATCTTCGTTGTCCTCATCGCCACCCAGGGAATATTCCCTGAACTAGACATCTTATTCGCCATTTATTTAACCTAATAGATCATACATATGCTCAATCAGTGTATCCAATGCCACACACTGGATATCCATATCGAGCAGCCACTTCCAACTTATTCTTGATATTGAACTTGTCCTTAATCATATAGCAGTTCCATCCACATTAGACATTACAAGATTCGAAGCTGAATTAGCTTTAGTTTTTCTCTAGGTTCCTCATTTTTAAATACATTACCTTCAATGCACATTACAAAAAAATAGCATGGGTATTTTTATTTTCTGTGCAATTTTTAATAGCTTTGTGTTGGTGTTAATAGGAGAGGAAAAAGAAGAGGATTCTGTGGTTTTTAGTATCAATTCTAGTAGTTTTGTGAAGTTAATGGAAACATGGATGTTTGACTGATTATTTAGTTTTGGCGGGAGTTGCATGTATACTGAACAGTTGCAAAAAAAAATTTTTTTGTATTTGTCAAATAGAATGCTTTATTTTTGTATTGCGTCACTTTCTGTTGAATTTTGATTGTGATAGTGTATAGATGAGGATCACGAAAGAGATGAGCAGTATAAAAACCCCAGTCATAGATTTAAAGTTGAGGTCTGTACAGGCGTTTATTATTCAGTGATCACTTGATGTGAACCAAGTAAAAGTTCAAAAAAAGGGCAAAAAAAACAGAAATTTAAGTTATATCATTGGGCGAGAGTTTTAATTAATTTTGCATATTTTTTGAACTTTTAGTCTGTTCACACTAAATGTTTGCTGGTAACTTCTTGGCCATCATATTATCATGTACCAGACATATGCGGATGCTATCCATATGGTCATTAAACGATCCAATTGCAGAAAAATTCTTTCCATTGATGAGTCAGATGGAGATAAAGAAGTGCGAGCATATCGTCCTAGCTGGGGAACTGATGAGGTAATGTTAAACACCCATCTATTTTTTAAAAAAATAGAAATAATTTATTAATACTGTCTATTATTTAAATCAGCTCCAGAAGTTTAGCACTACGGTTGGTGACTTTACTGTCAAGCATTTGAAGAAAAATGCAGACAGTTGTTAAAGCGCATCTCCTATGAGAAAGAAGTGAGTATTCACGAGAATTTGACAGTCACTTTATTAGAGTAGTGCTTTTCAAAATAAAATAAATCTTTTTTTTCCTTGCCCACTATTTTACAGTGTTTTTTTTTCTACGTGTTTATGTATATGGAATAGAATGATGTATACAGATATATGTATAGAATGCCAAGTATAAGCAAAATTTTATAAAAATAATAAATAATAAACTTCCACTTATATATAAATTAGCCTTTATTAATTAATATATATATATATTTGTAGGTGTTTTATTTTTGTATTTAAATCTAAAAATATATTTTTCCTAGCAAAGGAACAACACACATCTGAGCTTTGCCTTCTAAACCAAGGTGCTCACCTACTGCAACTGGATAGCAGATTCTATGTACCTGAAGAATACTGTTCATGCTATCATCTTTGAATCCCACCTCATTTGCCTCAACTCCTTCTCCTGCTCTGGGCTGAAGCACAATCTCCTTGTACCATTGTAAACATGCAAATTCATTCTGACTCGAATGACTAACAAACAAATTTACAAAGAGGTACTGAATCTGGCCTACATATGGTTTAGTACTTCTACCATCACTTGTCTCAAACAGCACTTTCATAAATGACCTGCACTAATTTCTTGTTTTGCTCCTGTATATTTGGCTGAGAAGATTGATTGATTCAAATTTGTGTATCCGATTGTTGACAAAATTATCAGAGCGACCAGCCTGATGACAGTGAACAAGCATTTGATCATCATATACCTTGTGATAATTGATGACAAATGCTTGTACTCGGACTCTTTCATAAAAATCTCTCCCTTTAGAACTAAAGGAAGTGTAGATGGGAGTATAGGCTTGTTTCCCTTGACTATAACAAAGTTTATCTTAAGAAAACTGATAACAGCATTGATATGGAATAGTATGGCGGTGGCAGTGGACGTAGCACTGGAAAAATAGGGTAATTTCATCTATGGCGTAGGGTACTATTATTTGTGGAGTGGTAGCTTAAATTTCCATCACTTCTGTCTTTTTTATTTTCGACGGCGATGATAATGCTCGGTCTGTTTTATTGGATAAAAAAACGAGTTTACTCTTTTTTGTAAAAAATGTCTGCGAGATTTCTTTTTGGGACTTGTAGCCATGTCGCAGAGTCAATAGTTGTAGGAAACTTAAACCAAATGATATCTTTTGAGTGAGATAATAAAGCTTTTTATTGTTGTAATATTTATTTATAAGTATGATGAGGTTAATGGTCGTGATATTACTACAAATATTTTTGTTGTATATACTCTACAGCTAATAAAATGTACATGATGACATGTTTTAACAAAAGTGTGTATAATTGTATTTTAGAATAAGGCAATCAATTACTGTTTAGAGAACTGCCCATTTTAACAGCCGGAATAAACTATGTCATTTTGGAAGCTGGTGTAATTTGGAAAGATATATATTAAATTGTGTTCCTGAACAATTTTCTATTCTTGTCAATTTTAAAGACTTAAAAAATAAAACATATGTACACAATATGTCAAACAACAACAACAATTCAGAATGCAAGTGCTCTAAATGCTCTTCCAATAGCATGGAATTTGTTTTGGTGTCTACCCAAACACTCAGAAGACATGCACAACAGGATATCGTGAGACAATATCAGTCAGGATCTTCTTGTAAGTTCAAATTTAAGAAAATTATTATTGAGACAATTTTAATTAAATATTTATTTTCATATAATATAGCCTCAGTTATAGAAGTAATGTCGAATGACAATGACATGGAGATTGACTTTGAATACAATGTTGATGCCGAAGATCAAGTTGAAGGTATGCATAGTATTTTTATTAAAGTTTTATAATCATTTATAATATCTAATAATTTGATTCTTTTTTACCTAACAAAACAGTCAAATACTTGCCTCTTTTTGGCATTGATTCCTTGTTTGATTCTGAAAGCGAAGATGAGGGTGTCATTGAAGCAACCATTTTGGATATTTCTGACGATGAATCTGATGATGTTAGAGGTTAGTACAAAAAGCACATATAAATCAATAAAGTCAACAAGTATTGATTTTTTTTTTTAAATAGAGCACTTTTCTTTATCCAATATGTCAGTCGATCCTACTCATGCTTTCATTGCTTCTTTTGCTGCCTTCTTCATATCCAAATATGTTGTCAATTCTGGTGGTGCTGTTCTGTTAAAGTTTCTTAACGAAGTATTGGCACACTTTGGACAGTCTTTCCGTCTTCCCCTCAGTATAAACGGTGTCAACTCTATGACCGGTCTCAGCGACATGACTCGAGGTGTCCAGCGGTTTGTTGCATGTGGCAATTGTAACAAAGTATACGAAGAGTCCAATGTTGTTCCAGAGTGCTGTAATTTTGAGAGACTCTCTGGTAGAGAATGTGGAAACGCTCTTTTCTTTGCAACATCAAGAGCCTTGACTATCCCCAAAAAGATCTACATGTATAACTCCATAATCAAAACATTGTCTATCCTTTTTTGCCGCCCTGGATTCGAAGACACCATCAACCATTGGAGAATCAGAGTGCAAGTTCCAGGCATGATGTTTGACATTTACGACGGTACGAAGTGGAACAGTCTGAAGGATAGCAATGGTTTACCGTTTGTGAATCATGTGTGCTCCATAATGCTTACCATGAACATCGATTGGTTTCAACCTTTCGATGGGGTCACTTACTCCTGTGGTGCGATATACCTTTGCATCAACAACTTGCCAAGATCGGAATGGCACAAGAAGGAGAATGTTGTTCTCGTTGGTCTCATGCCAGGGCCCAAGGAAGCAAAGACAAGTGAGATCAATCATTACCTCCGTCCCCTTGTCGTGGAACTCAACCAGTTGTATGGCGGTGTGGTGATGCCTACCGTACAGTGCCCATCTGGTGCTCTTGTCCGTGCTGCCCTTCTTCTTGTTGCCTGCGACATTCCTGCTGCCCATAAGACTTGTGGGTTCACCTCTCATTCAAGCACATGTGCATGCAATAAGTGCAACCGACAGTTCCCTCGCCTTCCAGACTCCAATGCTGTGGACTACTCTGGGTTCGTGTTTTCTGAGTGGGTGCCTTGCACTGATGCCGAAAACCGCCGTGATGCTGAGTTGTGGAGAATGGCCAGCAGTGATGCACAGAGAAAGAGATTGGAGAGGGAAAATGGTGTCCGATGGTCAGAATTGCATGACCTGGTTTACTTTAACCTCGTGGAGTGCACTGTCATCGATCCGATGCACAACCTGTACCTCGGAACAGCAAAGAGGATAATGGAGAAATGGAGATCTTCAGGTCTCATCACAGATGCACACTTGGCTGAAATGCAGTTGGATGCTGACAAGCTTGTACTGCCAGAGGACTACACGCCATTAGGGACAAAGATCGGGTGTGGCTTCCCATTCATGAAGGCCGACAAGTGGAAGTCTTGGTGCTTGGTGTACTCTCCTGTTCTCCTGCGTGGTCGTCTACCTGAAGCTCATCTCGGTAACTGGACAACGTTTGTCAATGCATGCCAGTACCTCTCAATGCCAAGCATATCCATGGCTCACCTTGATGAAGCCCATCAATCTTTGGAGGCTTTCTGCAGAGAGTGCGAGAAGTTGTATAAAGCCCCATTCCTTTCGCCAAACATGCATCTCCATCTTCATCTGCGAGAGACTGTACTGAACTTTGGCCCGGTTTATGGCTATTGGCTTTTTAGTTTCGAAAGATGCAATGGTATCTTGAAAAACTATGCGACAAATAGAAAAGATGGGTTTGAGGGAACCTATATGAAGAAGTATCTTGAAGAAGCATACCAGGGAGATCTTATTTGCCAAACTTTGCCAATAATTCGACCTGAGCATTCGGCGATCATCCTTGAGCTCACTGCATCCACTGCCAATTCCATAGCCACTTTCACTTCCACTGCCACCTCAATCCAATTCGATATCAATGCTTTTCTTGATTCTCCTGAGATCAACTTTGATATCGTCAAGGGAAACGAGCCTTTGCCCCCTTCCGCACTTCCTTTAGCTCTAAAGGGGGAGATTTCCATGGATGAATCCAAGTATGAGCATTTGTTGGAATACTATTGCAAGACATACGATGATCAAACTCTTGTTCATTATCGTCAGGCTGGTCATTCCAATAATTTTGTTAACAATCGGATACAGAAGTTTGAATCAATCAATCTTCTTGGGTAAATCTACAAGAGCAAAACGAAGAATCAGCGTGGATCGTTCATGCAAACCTTGTTTGAGACAAGTGATGGTAGAAGTACCAAGCCATACGCGGGCCAAATTCAGTACCTCTTTGTCAATACTACTGTAAACTCATTTGCTGGTCATGCGAGCCAGCATGTATTTGCATATGTACAATGGTACAAGGAAGTTTTACTTCAGCCCAGAGCAGGAGAAGGAGTTGAGGTGAATAAGGTGGGGTTCGAAGATGACAGCATGAACAGCATTCTCCCAGTGCATAGAATCTGCTATCCAGTTGCAGTAGGCGAGCACCTTGATCTAGAAGGCGAAGTTCAGATGTGTATAGTTCCTTTGCCGCGAAAAATATATATTTAGATTCAAATACAAAAATAAAACACGTATAAAAAAGAAAAATTAATTAATACAGACTAATATATATAGCTGCACGTTTATTTTTTATTATTTCTATAAATTTTTGTTTGTACTTGGCATGCTATACATGCATCTGTATACATCATGCTAATCTGTAAACATAAACAAGTAGAAAAAAGACTCTAAAATAGTTGGCAAGAAAAAAATGATTTATTTTGAAAAGCACCAATCTGGTAAAGTGACTGCCAAATTCTCAGGAATGCTCACTTCTTTCTCATAAGGGATGCGCTTTTTCAAGCTTTCTGAATTTTTCTTCAAACGGATAACAGTAAGTTCATCAATAGTACTAATAAACGTCTGGAGCTGGTTTAAAGAATAAATAGTATTAATAAAGTATTATTATTTTCTTTAAAACATAAATAGATGTTTAACATTACCTCATCAGTTCTCCAGCTGGGATGATATGCCCGCACTTTGTTATCTCTATCTGACTTGCCATCAGACATCACGTCAATAGAAAGAATATTTCCGCAATCATATCGATTCATGCCCTCATGAATAGCCTCTGTGTATGTCTGATACGTGATAATACGACGGTCAAGAAGCTACCAAAGAGTATTGTATTAAAACATTAAATCAATAGTAAATTAACTTTATTTTAAAACTTACGGTCTTCTTTCTGTTGCGTCTTCTTCCAGCTTTATTTCTAGCCATAATCTTCTCTGCTGAGGTCCGGAAGACTCGCACTTGATTTTGGTAGTGATTCTTTATTATATTCATAATGACACTCTTTGACACATTTGTGCAACATCTTTGAGGTCTCAGGTACTTGAAGAGAGCCAGTGCAAGTGTCTTGTTGTACTTGTTGCCATATGTGCCAGTCATTGACCATGCTGATCTATTATTATTCTCAGCAACTTTGAGTGGGTCTGTGCTAACAAAGTTTGGTTTCTTGATGTAACTATTGATAAGTTGCTATAAAAACAGTACTAGATATATTAATCAGTAATGTTATTATTATCAATTTACTTACAGAAATCAAGGGATGATGTTTTGCTCCAAGGTCAAGATCATCATCCATGGAAGACGAAGAATCTGCTGGTACAGCAGAAGGCATCACGGAATTTTGGCTGGTCATTGCCTTTTTTATTTCAGCATTTTCAGTCATGACCTGAAGGACCGAGTTCTTCAAAAATTCATTTGTCTTGTTGGACAAATCCAGGCCATTCTTCAAATGAGTTATTGCATCAGTCACTCCTTTTGCATTTTCTTGCAAGGATTGCATCGACACATTGTTGGCTGCCAACAAGGTAAGGACGTGATCCATTGGGGTCACAGTGACTTGAACTTCAGGGGCTGTATCAACTGCTACTTCTGGAGTTAGTGTATCAATTGGAGCAACAACACCTGCAATTGTGCTATTAAGAACAGCATTCATGCATAGGTTGGGTCGGCAGGGAGCAGTAGGAATACGCTTTGTCATTTTCTGTTAATAAAATAAATATTAATAATTTTCAACTAATATTGTACAATTCACTACACTTGTTATATCATTGTTGTAGTGGTTGAAGTTGAAGAAGTTTTTAAGAGGAAGAATTCAAGATTTGAAATTAGGAACGAAGATTTGTGAGAACTTGTGTAGGTTTTGTTTATTGAGAAAGATTTTGTATCAAAGTTTGACGAGGTTCCTACACTGAACTACTACTGCTATTTATATTGTTTTGGATTGGGAAAATTATATGACTGGGGTCAGGTAATCGATCCTATCTGAGCCTTAATCAGAGCAACGTGATCTTGGAATAATTAATGTATGATTAATTATATAAATGTGTGTAGTCCCAATGAAGTATTAACATCGAAAGTAAATGTGTTTATGAGTTATAATTATGCTTATAATAATCCACTGATGTATCCCATATTATGGTGATATCATCATATGAAATATAATCACTATCATGCATGCTAAACCTGTGTGTTAAATAATAAAGTAATCGGTAGACACCTTTGACTGGAATAGCTGAGGCCTTGTATTATTTCCTTCAGACTTATTCTCAATTACAGCAGTAGTCAATACTCATTTACAACAATCATATTTAAAATTCACATACTAGTAAAGAGGATAAGTGGTGCAGATTAACTCTCTACATTTCATTTGATATTTAAGCACATCTCCTAACCGCTTGATCCACATTTAGACAACTTCTTTTCTAACTCAATGAGGCACAAAGTAGTATTTCAAGATGACGGTGGTCATCTTCTTTTGGAGTATTACTTTTTACAGCCCGCATTTTGTCAGGGTCAAACTGGATTTTAAGACAAGTCTTTTTTTTTCTTTTTTTTCTTTTAACAACATTTATTATTGATATTTTCTTTGTTTCTCTTTTGCTTATGTTTTTACAATTTCACTTATAATTTTTTCTTTCTTTTATAGCTCAATACCAAATATGTGTCTCTTTGTTTGGCTATACTCTGTCTGATATATCAAGGTAAGATATCATTCTCTTACAGATCTTTGTTACTCATCATATTGTTTGTCTAGCCATTGCTACTCATTTCCATTGAGTCTCATCATCTCTTAATCGAACATGATAGTAAGTTTTTTTCTTAAAAAAAATTCAAATTATTCTTTTGTCTTCCTCATAGATATATATTTATTTTTATTATGATTTATTAGTTATGTCTAATATTATGCACAAAGACGTATAATCAGTAATATTTGGTAAGTTAACTACAATATATTTAATAAATACGCCTTTACTACGCACAATATTAATAATTATTCATTTTTAGAATGTATCTCTATTCAAAGACTACTGGTATTGTCTTGATAATTCTGAAGAACATGTTTATATCAAGTTTATGTCAAGTCTTCTCCACCTTGTAAGTATTTATGAAGAAATTTCAATTTAAATCATTTACTAATTCTTCTTTTCTATTAATCATTTTTTAATAGCATTCCCGCTATTAAAGTATGTATTCCATGTCTACTCCCGGAAGGCTTTAAATTATATATAGCGAGCAAGAAGTATTAGCGATTATAATAGCTATAGTATCAAAACTGTCGCGAAATTAGGATTTTTATCTAGAAAAGATTTTCCTATCAAATAAAACAAAATTGAACAAAAAATGTATAACCCAATGTTTTTCCAAAAAATAAATAAATAAAAGTAAAATAAATAAACAAACCAAAGAGGCTTGTTTATAAAAATCTACCCATGCTTTGTTTCTCTTTTCCATTGTAAAAAAACCTAGTTTCATTGCTTTTGTGTGTATAAAAAACCTAGTTTCATCACTTTGAGCATGTATAAAAAACCAACTATCATCATTTCTTTATATTGTAAAAAACCTACAATCATCTCTTTGATAGTTTTTAAAGCATTTCTGCAGCCAATAAAAAAACCCGGTAAAAATAATAATATGGGACGCTAGCTCTTTATAGACCTCAAAATATAACACATAAAGAGGTAGACTCGATAGGAGTAAAGCGTAACTACAATATTTATTCAGTTTCCATAGTTTGCAGACTGACAATCGTTCTACATTGGGTTTTCGTGTACCCGTTGTTATGATGATACGCATCAGCAC